GACAAGATCCAAGTTAGTCGAATATAGGCTCGGGGGCCGGAATACTGGGTTAGAATACTGGCTCCACCTATTAGTAGCTGTGCAACCTTGTGGGAATTTACTACTCTCTGCTCTGGTACCATCTGGTGCAGGCAGAGGCTCATGAGTAGAATCAGAAGATGATTAAGACCCTTGTTCTGCCATCCCATGGAGTGGCTCAGACAGATGCAGATGGGCAAATCTAGAGACCCTTCCTCCTAGTTGCTCTTTCGTTTGATAAGGAAAGCGTGAGGCATGAAGACAGCCATATAGCTGCGGGGTGTAACTCATTTGAGAATGGATGCCATACAGTCAGAATTGAGGTGCCAAATACCCAAGGGGACACTGGAAATGGCAGTTTATACTCTGGCATTTGGAGACTCTGAGAGAAGGTGAGATCATATACTGAGCCTGATGCTGAGGGGAGGGGAAGCTGCCCTCTGCGGCTCGCAAACTTGGAAGAGCCTCTGGATTATTCTAGATTCAAAGGCAGTCTTGCTTGTTTCTCCACATAGACATTTATTAATTGCCAGGCACTGTGCTTTGTGATTTGAATATATTATCTCATATAATACTCATAGCACCTCATCAGGTATTATTACTCTTATTGTCGCTTTACAGTTCAGCAAACTGAAGCACAGAGTACTTTGAGATCCTCCCCCACCCCCTGCTATATAATACTGTTTGTCAGAACTGGGTATATTATAAATTGGAGTATGAGAAAATGGAATACAAGGATAACTGGCATGAGGAGTTGAAGTCTTGATTTAGAATAGTGACTTTGGGAAAGCAGACATCTCAATTTATTTTATTAACATGGCAAAAGTTGATTTTCTGAACATCACACAGCTGTTTAGGTGGGGGAAGCGCCAGGACTAGCCAGAGGTTCAGAGGTGTGTAAAGAACTCACCTTGGGTATAACATTTAAGAGTACTCTGGAAAATTCATGAATTAAAATAAAATAATATCTTAATGCAATATTTAACAATTCAAAATTAATGCAAAAATCTGTACTGACAAAATGCCAAAATTTTAAATGAGGACAGGACCATTTTTACTGACTTTTCCTTTGTTTCTGATTCCAGAATGGTTGGGGGACTTGAACTAGAATGGTATCAGTCTGAGTTCTGAGCCCGTGCTTGTAACCATTGTTTGCTGATGTTTCTCAGGATAGGAAAGATAAAGAAGAGTCAAGTGTAACTTAAAGAATATAAGACTGATGGTCAAAGATAATGGTGAAACCATGGAATTGCTTCTTTAGGAGGAAAGCAGAAAAAAACGACTAATTTAACTACACTAGTATGTTTAGAAACTTTAGGAATCTGTATAATTTGGCTTCAAAGGCAGAACAAATAAAAATCTTATTTAACTTTAAACTTTTCTTGCCTCTCTTGGCACTCTTTTATGAGTGCCAAGAATCCTATTACTGATCTTAAGGAGCCTAAAGCAGTTTCCCCTTCATCTGTTGGTATACATTTCTGTAAGAAATAGAAGATGCTATTAAGAGCACTTGAACACTGAGAAACATTTATCTCATATAATAGAAGTACTGGAAGCAGGTGATTATTCCAAGACTGGATAATTCAATGCCTCAGCAATGTCATGGACTCAAGTTCTTTCATTTTTAACCTCTGCCTTTCTCAGGGACTCAGTCTGCATGGTTATAAGGTGGCTACAGCATGTTCAGGTTCTCTGATACCATGCAACAAACTTCTTCCCCCTTTTAACAGCAAGAAAACCCCTCCCAGAAGCTCTCATCTAACATCTTATTCTAGAACCAATTGTGAATTCATGTTCTTGTTTGTTTGATAGCAGTATAACATAATAGCTGAAATTCATGCTCTGAGGGTACAAAATCAGATTCCGTCATTAACTAGCTGTGTAATCTTAGGCGTATTATTTAAGTTCTCTGTGTATCAGTGTTTTTATATTTAAAATAGAGATAAAATAATATAGCTACCACATTGGATTATTAAAGGAAAAATGAGTTAATATATGTAAAGTTCTTAGAATGATATCCTGCAGGGAATATACACTTTATAAGTGTTAGCTACTACTGTTTTTATGATGATCCTCACTGTGATATATGCAATTTAACTCATGGAAATGGGAGAGGTAAGAAAGTATAGTTACCTGAGTATTCTTAAAAAGAAAGACTAATCAAAGGTTTGGTTGCATTGTATATTATTCCCTTTGACATGTTTGGATATGAGGTCTGAGGGAAGGAATAAGAATTGACTTGAGGACTGCTATCTTATTTAAGATATATCAATATCTATATCATCTATCATCTTTTAAAGTTGTTGTCCATGTGGCTAAAAGATCAGAAGCTGATTTCAAGCCAGCAACATTGACTTCATGAAAGTGGGCTGATTTGACAATTTTAGAATCAGACAATAAACCTGTCTGCAGAGTTCATATAATACATTTAAGCATAGGATAATTAAACAGATGTCTATTTTGTTGGGTTTTATTGTTATGTTCCTCAGTGAACACTTAGAAAGAAGGGGAATGGAGCAATGGTCTCAATCTATTCAGATCATAAAAACCCCATCCGCAATATTCTTCCATTAGATATAAAATATACTAGTGCTAAAATGTCTTTAATGATGTCAGTGCATTCCAGTTCCTTACATATAATTCTTTTAAAATTCTCATTTGCAGTTATAAAGTCCATTCATTTCCTTTCTCTAAGGTTTAATCTAACCATTCAGACTGCCATATCTTGCTCGATGAAACTCTCCAGAATGTAGTACAATAAAGCCCAAAGAGTATAAAGTTACAATGGCACTGAATCCTGGAGATAGGCTTCCCTGAGACCAGCATTTTATAACTTGTCATCCTTGGATGGGTTGTGAATCTCTTGAAACAGAACATAACATTTTAAATTTTCCCAGAAATTTTCTCCCTTATTACTTTCCCGCTTTCTGTAGGATCTTATCCATCATCATAAAAATGGAGTATTCCTTCCTAATTTAACTGTCTCAACAGCAGAAAGCCCACTCTGATTCTAGCCCTCCTTCAAACATTTCTGACTTTCTGTCATTTACTTTACAGTAAAATATACTTGCTGCCTCTAAGTTCTTCCCGTTTGGTCTTGAACGCGTTCCACTGAAGCTGCCCTTTGAGGATTACCAATGACATCTTCATCATGAAGGGGAAAAGTCATCCTCTTGGCCCATCAGCTACACTTGCCAGGGATCATCCTGTCTTCCCCAAAACAGCGCCTTCACTTGATGTCTGTCTAGTACATCTAGTATACCACACTCACTCTTTTTCTGCATTTCAATTTCCCCTCCTCTCGCTCCCTCCCCCCCCTTCCTCTCTTCTTTTCTGACTTACTCCTATCTCCTAAATGTTGCAGCATCCCTGAGTCTGCTCTCTTGTTGATCACATTCAGTGTCATGGCTTTGAATGCCCCCTGCCCTCTATCAAACTTCCAAGTTTCTGTCTTCAGTGAGGACCTCTCTTTTGTTGATCATAGTGAGCTATACAACATGGCACATAGTTATACAACATGGCAACTCAAGGTTGACAGGTCTAAAATTCAACTACTTATGTACTCCCCCTAAAATCCCTGCATCTCTCCAGTTCTTCCCATTTTAATAAATGGCATTTCCATTGTACTGATTTCTATACCAAAAACCTTTAAGTTATCCTATGTACCTCTCTCTCTCACAACCCCCAGCTGAACTGTAAGTCTATACTATTAATTCTATCTTTTAAATACATTCAGGACCTGCTGGCATCTCACCACACACACTGTTAAAACCCTGATAGACATTACAGTAACTTTCCTCCTAGATTACTTCATTTGGCTCCTTTCTGATCTTTCTATTTCCAACTTGGCCTGCTTTCAATACTCAACACAGCAAACGATATTGCATAAGTCAAATCACTTCATTCCTCTTTCAATGGCTTCCTATCACAATCAGAGTTTAAGACTAATTTTGAAATATTTAACCTTTAGATGGTATGTGTGTATAATTCTAGTCTCTTAAGATATTAAAGAGAAAAGAAACTCTGAAAAGCTAAAGTAGTTTTTTGAATTAAAGTAAAATCTAAAATTTAATTACAGATTAATGAAAAATCAAGTGCAATGTATACTATGTTCCTATGTAGATCACCTCTTGCATCAGATCTTAAAGGCTATTCTTACTCCAGAGAAATTTTCTTATAATTTGAATGAGAACAACAACATTTTGGAAATCTCTAAAATATCTAACTGCTTGCATTTTTATTACTTAATCTCTCATTCTGCAAACATTTTATATCTCCTAGGACCAAAAAAAAAAAAAATTTACAGACTTAATTTTTTCTAATTCTATCCATTAAAGTTATTAGAAGTTCAAAGACTTTATTTTTAGGTACTGGGATATCTAGCAAGGATAAACCAATTGAATCTAGCTGCAGCTTGATATGATCACTACCTTGAAAATTCCATATTTTTCCTGCTGTGTCACAAATTATAATAAGTGGACCTATCAGTCTTATTCGAGTGACAGCTACTTAAGTCAACTTGAAACTTGCTGTTTATCTGAAAATTTACAGAGTCATCTTCACCATGATGTTTTCCAGTACAATATGGACTGACCATGGTTTCTTCTGCCCCTGACCATCCATAACTTAGAATTCATATTGCAATTTGGATAACATAAGTATACATTATTATAATTTACTTCTAATTTTTCCCATGTTGAACTCTTATTTAGATTAAAAACTTCTCAAGGGCAATTTCATCCTTGGTTACCCCATAGTATTTGGACCACAGTTACCCAATAACTTTTCTTTTTAATTGAATACACGTGTATACTATGACAAAATGTAATTTATATTTCTAAACAACAACAAAATTGTAGCCAAGGGATAGTTAAATTCATAAAATTGACATATTCGGGCAAAAGAACAAATCAGGAAAAACAGTTTTTCCTAGTTTTTTGTGAAATTATTGTAAAATTTTCTTCTCTTAAAATTACTTTTAGCAAGCTCTATTTCCAAGATTGGCTCAGATCCTCTAAAATTCGTACATCATGCTGTGGAGGAAACCACGGACTGGGTCTATGGCTTCTTTTCTTTGTTGTCTGATATCATCTTGTCCGAAGGTGATGAAGAAGATGATGATGATGGGGAAGAGGACACTGATAAAGGTACAAAGAGCATAGAGACATATCTAAGTGCTAGGACAAATGTTAGATATCCATTACAGGGGTTTGCTTACGTTTAAGCACAAATGAAGACTTAAGGCAGTCTAAACCAAAATGAACGTATTTCTGAGTGCTCATAGAGAATCAACAGAATGCCAAACTCAGTAAATTGGCCTCATTTGGCTTTCACGTTAGAGCTGATCTACCATTATGGCAAAGATGTCAATATTAAATGCTACCATTAGAGTAGCATTAAAGTAGAGGGTCTTATGCACTACTACAAACCCACAATGAAAATATTTATATGCTTCTTTGGGGAAAAGTAGTAGCTATTTCTCAAACTTGTCCTTAGAATAGTTGAAATAACAGTAAAACTAAATATACATATAAATGTTTTATGCACATGTCATATTCATAGTCAAACAGTAGAAAGCAATCCTATTAAAATCACAATAAAAAATAAATTTACTGAATCAAATGGAGGTGTAAATGGAGGGACACATTGTAAATGTCGCAACAATTATGCAACTAATGTATGTACTCATATATATTAATAAATAAAAAGAAATGAACTCAATGTGTAAACTGCTATTGAGTAGACATGAAAAGAAAAAGCATTTTGATTCTGCCTTTTATTGACATTTTAAGGGACAGCCTTAGTCATCAGGCATCATGTATTCAGCCTTGACTACCAGGAAAGCTCTTATTATTTTAGTCCTTTGTATGTCTTTGTCTGAATTTGTATTTCTTTGGCCCCAGTGAGAGGTGTAGAAGAATAATAGAGAACTGGAATTAACATGATATATGAACTATATTGTATAATTTGGATCACTACCACAGTTTCATTGAATGTCTAATAAACGTACATAAACAAAGTTTATATTTAAAAACTGGAATTTGGGAAACAAAGTAATATAAGGACTATTACTGACAAAACTAATAGATGTTTTTATAAAGAAAAAAAGGTAACATGGGAAAATAGGGAACCAATATTATGCTATGCTAAAAGTTTTTCTAATTTTCTGTTTTTTGTCTTGGTTTAGGAGAAATAGAAGAGCCTCCCTTGAAAAAAAAAGGTTGGTTTTTTTCACCTTTGAAACACGGTAACATTGATCTCTATGGTAACATTGATCTTCAGCATGACTCAAATATACTTTACTTGAGTTTTAGCCTTAATTTATTTTTAATGTAGAGTATTTATTTCATGATTAGATCAAGATTTATAGTTAAGAAAAGAAATACTTGATTTTTTCCAGTGAAACTGATCCCACTGTTTTTCAGCTGATTATTTAATTGATGCCTTCTTCAGTAGATGTGTGAATCCATCTACACACAGATCAATGTGAATTGGAATTACGGGAATGAGGGATGAATTCTGTAGCCTTGGAAATGTCCCAAGAAGATGATGCCCATGATTTTTATTCTGATCATGGCCAGATTTATTGATTCTAAATTTTTTTTCTTATTTTATTATTCGATTGTGTTTTTATTTTTTTATTTTTAGGTAATAACTATGGGACATGGTGGCTGAGATAGTTGTGGAGGATAATAATCTTGGAGGCACAAGCATATTCAGTCAGTATGTATCATGTATGATCCTAAAGAAGTACAGTTACCTGGGTCTGCTTGGATGTGGTGTAGAGGAATTCCTTGCAGTAATACCTGAGGTCCTTAGGGACTAAATGGGATGTTCACAGATTCAAAAGATGGGCACAACGAGGCTAAGAAAAAGTGGTATAGCTATGGAATAAGAGCCTCAGAAGGGCAGAGATTTTCACAGGAAACAGTAGGAATTAGGTCTTCAAGGGAAAATAGTGAGCAAGAGATATCGTCCTGAGATACATTTAGTGTGATCGAGAAAACGCCAACACGTAAGCCAGACTTGACAAAAGTGCAATGTTTTAACTATTGTTGCACACATTTGGTAGCAATATCATGGGAATATTTATTCTAGAGGAGATCTTTCTGGCTTCTGTTGCAATCTCCCTAGAACAAATGCAGATGCAAACACTGGGATTCAAATTTGGAGCTTCAGCCTTGCCTGAACAGATGATCACCTCACCATGAGGGGTAGAATCCACTTGGTGTATATTAACTTGGAAATATGAACTTGTGCAGCCAAAGAGAGCTAAACCAGTGAAACACAACTGTGATAAAGCCATCCAAAAGTGAAAGTATTCATGAAGCTCTAGCGAGGAGAAAAGATGGATTTTCTTACAAATCCAGGATGAGCTCAAGAACTCAGGGCAGACGTTAGCCATCAAATCCAGGCTTAAAGCTTCTAGATTCACTTTTGATGTCAGACACATAGTTTTTTCTATATCTGATCTCCAATGACTAGTATCTGGAACATAGCCAGAGTTTAAGCTAGTCAGTTACTAGTCATTATCTGGAAATAAAAGCTTATGTATATGTCTATTCCAGTTGGCAGAGGAAACAACACATAACTAATGTTTTCTTACACTTATAAATTCATAAGTTGATATCTAGCATTTAATAATCTGTTCTTTTCTTTTGACTTGAATTTCCCTGTGGGATTATTTTAAAATTAAGTTTCATGTAATGATTAACATCATTGGAAATTCCCACAAAGCTGTTTAGTGATTGCTTCTTAAGTTATTGCCTTGATTCCTCAAGTCAACAGAAAAACTGTTAAATAGTTATATAGGATATATTTTTTTTACATGTCAGTAACACTTAGTAGTTAAAATACTTTAAGAGAAATATGTGTTTAAAACCATGTATAGTAATATCTTCTTGAAGGACTACTAGGAGGAGAATTGATTTGAAAATCACTTGAATATATTTTTTTAGTAATATTATTCACAAAGTTACATGAAAAAATGGACACTTAAGGAAACATCTTATGTACCCTGTCTTGGGTACAAAAGCTATGTAATTATAAATATTTGTTAAAGTGGACTAAAGAAAATAGATTTAATTACTATTATAATTTTTTATTTATAAACTTTTGTATACTCATGGAGGCAGAGGTTTTAAATAAATATGTAATATTTTACAAAACATTTCTAATATTTATTCTTCATTTAAAAGCATATTTTAATGTTATTATTAGGGAAGAGATCTATGAGCTTATCCCTGTTTTATGATGGATTATTTTATACATTTTCATGTTTAAAAATTGTGGTTTAAAAAGTATTATTTTTGTAATCTAGAATGATCATCATTAAAAACATTTGATCTTTATTTGTCTAAATTATTCTTCATTAATATTTTTTTTCCTTTCAGATATATTAAATAATATTTAGCTACGTTATATTACCAAAGTTATCAGGCTGTGGCATTGTTCATTCAATTGCCCTGTGTCTGTATGAAGCATTTTATTTAAATACACTTAAAATGTTAGTTGAATTTGTAGAGTTATTGCTATTTTTACAAAAATAAAAATTCACCCACATAGTTATTTATGGGTAAGCTTTGCTGTTCTAATTTGATGTGGAATGATGGAATAATCTCATGGTTGCAGGATTGATTATTAAATAGGTTATCAATATGGATGAAATGTTTGAATCTGCTATTCTGTGGATTATATTGTTACATATAAATTTAGCTTTAGGGTATTGGATGTCGTACGTAGTGCGTTTATATTCTTTTTCAGAATTTATTTTTCAGCTTGTCAAAATTTTAAAATTTTAAATTCTATTACCAAACACTCCATGATGAGGCTCTAAGGTGCTGAGCAATTATAAAATGTTATATTTTTAGTGTGCAATTATTTAAAATTTATAACTGTAATAACCAAATACCATTGTAAATCCCATTTCCTGGAACAGTGGTGTGCTGCGCATGGTAGGTGTGCTTCATCAATCTGGACCAGCCTAGTTCAATAGCATTCTTCATAGAAGGGCGCACATCATGAATATATGAGTGCCGCATTTTCTGAGGGGTACACAAGTGCAGACAGCGTTGAAAGTATCGAATTACATTTGTATGTTTTCCTAAAATTCATCTGCCTGAGGACATATCCAAGTTTATAATACTCCTTCTACTTTACAAAATAAAGAAATACCTTTTGCCCACCCCCAAACTTCTAGCATGACAACCAAAAAAAACACCACCAAAACCATTAGGCATTCCTGCCCTGTCCTGCTTACATCTACTAAAGAAGCATGGTTTTGATATGCGGGGCTCTGTGTCACGATGCGATGTCCTGAAGTCAGACATATGGTAGAGTGGGATGATCAGAGCAATAACAAGTTTCATTTGATTCCTTTGCCTTCTACTTAGCTGAATAACATGAAAGCATGCATTGTTCTTGAGGGAGAAAACCACGAGAGCAAAGCAAAAAGAATATCAATAGGAAATAGGAACCAAAAGCTAAAAATGGCCTTTAAAAATTTAAAATAAGCTATTCTTTTTAGTTATTCTCAACACTTGTTTCTAAGAAGTGTCTTTGGCTTAAAAGAAAGAACTTTGAAACAACTGAAGCAGAATGGGTTGATAACATTGATTCTTTTAAATATAACCGGAATATTTTCTGAGATAATCAAACTTTTAAAGATGCAATGGATAAAGTTATAGATGTTACATTTCTGTGATTCATTTCAGATTAATTTTGCATTGTTAATTGTTAAAAATTACATTCACAGGAAGTGTAATTCTATAATGGGTATATAAGCTTTCTAATTTTTTTTTGTATTAACATTTCCAAGTGCAGCATAATGGATATATTTATCTCCTTTTTACAATTTATTCTTAAACCTCAGTCTATAATAAGTCTATATAAGAATAATCATTATAGCATGTATGTCCTTAGAAATGTGTAATTCTAGGAGAAAATAATAGTCTCCTAACAAGAAAATAATTTTATACTATTTTTTTCCTGACCTCTAGTTTTAAAGTTAAGGAAGAATAGTTTTAGTTATTCAGAGGTTTGCACACAGTTTTTTGGGAGGGAAAAACTGGTCTTCAATTAGGGCTTATAACATCCTTATGTGTTAAATCATCTTTTGCCTTAGAGGAAAGACATGGAGACCCCTCTGCATCATGTTGAACTTCCTTGCTTCCTAACTACTTGCTCTTTGAAATAAGGAACTATCATTAAGTTTGAACAGGACCCAAATATGAAGGCCAATATTTCTGTAAGATTGTACCTGATGCGTGTCAACGGCTGAGGAAGAGTCTCTTCTCTACTTAGAGCAAAACAAATTGCATCCTCCGTATAGTTGTGTTTTTAAATTGCCCCAAAGCGTCTCAGGTCAGAAAGAGCCCAGTAAATTTAAACTCAGTTCTTTCATTGTGCATTTTTCTCACTTTATTGAAATCCGCAATAGCTCTTTGCAGTTAGGGTGAATAAGGGAGAGCCAGGAAATCTGAGCATCATAAATATTCAAGACTTTAGGATTAGGCCATTGAGAAGATTGCATCGAGTCATCGGGAGTAAGATGGATGGACAAGTTCCCCTGCCAGAGATTTCATTACATCCATCTTTGCTGGCAGCTTCAGTGTCTTATACCAGGCTGAACATTAAGTGTCCGAAAAAATATGGTGAGAAAAGGAGGGAGAATGGGAAGGTGACTAAACTTGTTAAAATTCATAGCCTCAGAATATTGGTTACTAGGTAGGTCCTAGTAACATTGTTAAGGAAATACATTTATTTTTGGGCCTCTCTAAAGAAGTCCAATTCAGAACTCAGCTTCATAACTGCATTGTTGTATATTGCCCTCAGGCTGCTCAAGGATCTCAGTGCTCTGTCCTCTGCCTGTCTTTCTCAGTATTGATCAGATCGATGGTGACAGGGTAACAAAGCCCAGAGAGAACGGTCTTGGAGATGGGCTTCAGAATGAAAAAGCCTGAGGAGTCAGAGGTAAAGAGAAATATGGTGAACGATCCAGAGACGCACTTCCCAAGTAGCTGCAGCTGCATTGAATTCTGGATCCACTGTGTCAGTCAACTTTAGCACCATGTGCTACTAAAAAGAGCTTGTCTCCATCAAGGCAAGGAAACTAGAACCAGGATGGTACAATAATAGTGGGTAAAACCAGAGGCTGAAGGAATAGGACAAGGGAAGCAAGAGACCAGATTTTGGCACCAACATCATGGGGAATAAGAAGTC